ACCCTGTAGTTACTTGGTGCAGCAGAAACTGAGTTAAGAAATGTATAGAGAACAGTGTGGAGAATATGCCTACTGATGTTAGGGAGGAAAGGGTTAAGATGGTGATAACATAAAGTTATATCATGCTGATGGTAAGGTTGACCAATAGTCATATACAGAATTAAAATTTCAATGACCATAATTTTAATTCTCTTTGTTTGCAGCATTATCTTGACCCACCAAAAGAACTGAGTGCGACACTGGACAGAAAAGGAATTCCACAAACAGAATTTCACACCATAAAACATGGAGAGACCAAAGTTATCACAAGTGAAGTTACAAAACAGGCTCAAGCACGACGCAGTGCTGTTGTCTTTGAATCCTCGCACTAAAAATAAATGTCCACAAAAAAATAATAACTTAGTATTAACCAGACATGATGGCTATACTGGGGAATATTTGCCTGAGGTTGTGACAGTACAGATCAATAAGTGCAGTGAGGTCTGTATGAAAATGACCAAGGACTATAATTCCCCTGTGCGACTCGAGCAAGCAAGGTTAATAACTAATTTATTTATGGCACCCAAACCAAACTTGTTTATTTTTAGTTTGCTGGCTTGCAAGAACAAAAATACATGGTTTATGGCTGTATATAAAGGTCTGTATAGCAAACTCTGGACCAAGTAAGAACCCATTAAAACACTGGTTTACCTCAAGACTACAGTGCCATTTAATAATTAATTAATACAGAAGATATCATAGATATATATCCCTTTGTTGTAAGGGGTCAAGTTTGAAAAGTTTGTAGATTATAGTGCTTGAACTTTTATGAATCTAAAAATGTGTACAGTTGGAGATTTACTAAAGGTCATCCAGGAAAAATATTGTTTGCATGAGACAAAACAAATATTTGAGGATTTGAAAATGTTGATTTGCTCTTTAAGAGCTTTAAATTATCTCAAATTCTAGTTGTTTAAAAAAAAAAAGCTCAAATCAGTTGTTAGGTTGGTTTAAGATAACCTGTTTAGAGACAACATTTTAAGATGAAAATGAAACAATTCCTCATCAGGTATTCATATTGGTTTAAAAGTTTTGAATTAGATATTTTTTGTCTTAAAAATTTTAACGCTAGTTTATTTATATATTTATTTTGTTCCCAATTAGCACCAACTGCTCTGTAGTGTTATGTGATGCTTAATAAAGTTTCTTACCAACCCAAGCTAGGCAGATTGATGAATGCATTTTTCTTATTGAGATTACATGATACACAAGATGAATTAATTTATGCTTTGAATGCTGCAGGTTATCCCCACAACTAAAAGCCAAATGAAAAAACTGAAAATTCAAACTAGCTAGACTGGATCATTAGCATTTTTACACACTAAGTACACACAACTTGTTTCTCTTTTGAAATTCTAACTGACTTATATGGTCTTTTTCCCCATTGGCTGTACTAATTACTGTTTTATAAAGAAACAAATTTTTTTACACCAACACCTTTTCAACAAGCAGCATGTCTCTCTTTGCAAAGACCACTGCTGGGAGCAAAAGCAGTGTGACAGAAGTTTAATACCATTCTTGACAATTCCTGCTAGAAGGGCCTTGGAAAGCAAAGGGGCCAGAGATGGAAAAATTTAGGTGAGTAAAAATCCATTTCCCAAGATATACTTTTTCCAAATTTCATCATTCTTCTTTTTCTATTTTTAGGCCATTTTATTACCTCCCACTTATTTTTCGCCTCTTTTTTTCTCTACTTCCCAAATTTTTACCGAGTGGAACCTGGGAACGCTCCGGCGAAATTTTCAACTCCAGGCCCTTCGGCCGTTCACTTTCAAAATGGCGGTCGGAGTTGCTAGATTTATGGAACCACATTTTATAAGTTGATTTGTCTGACGCAAGTATGCTGCGGAAGCTCGGTAGAAGAGGTTTCTTTCACTTTCAAAATACAGATTTGATTCGCTCCGCCGTTATCAGAAGCTCTGAGGGAATCCCTCTCCACGGAAGGTAATATACAAACAGCTGAGCTGCTTGTACTCTTTTTGCAAAGACTTGTATGACGTAAGACGAACTGTTGCTCCTTTGAACAGTGACGAAAGCAGGCAGGGTAAAGACACTAATCAGTGTATGCTGTTGTGTCGTATCTTTAAGAATGCGTTCATCATGGGAATAGATCGACACGACTGCATGACCGTATGTTTACTATGAATACCGGTATTAATGTTGTGATGTAAATATTGATTTAAGTATGCTGTAAGTTGTGACTGTATAACCGGAATATCAATAGATTTAACATTTATATTCCACGATTATCATGTCTTAGAGATCTAGGAAGCCCATTACTTAGGAGCTTCTAGAGAGGACAGTTAACCTTTTGACCTCATAGTGACCAGCATCTAATTTCTCTCCACAATATCACCCCTGAAGCAAATATTGAGTCAAATTGTCCTTGTTGACTCTGTATAAAATGTATAGAGAATAGTTGGGAGAATTTGCTAACTGATGTTAGGGTGTAAGGGGTTAAAAAGTTGCCCAAGTCAATGATAGTCTTGTGTCATACAGGCTCTGCCAAGTCACACCCCTGTAACAGGTTAAACTTGTTTTAACAGACAAAAGACCACAGCAACATCAACAGAAAGAGAAAATGCCAAGCTTTTTTATGATAGCACAGAGTATCCTAAAGCCAAGAAAGTGAATGGAAGATTTGTTCTTCCATGGAGTGGGTCACGATTGCCCTCAATGCTTGTTGCTGCTCAATGGTTTTTGGGGTCTCCTAATAACAGCAGTGTACCAGGAGGAGGACTGAAGGATTTTTTCCAGTTTGATGATAAGGTTCAAAAAATAAGTTAACTTAAAATAAGTGTCGTTATCTTGAAATATTAAATTTTGAAACTTTAGTTTGCTAGATAAAACCTTTTTTTTTTGTTGTGGAGTAGTGTCTTTTGATGAGGGTCTCCACCAGCCAGGCTAGAGTTAAGGCTGAAAAGATAATTACTATATTTCATATATACAAGAAGCTGAATTACAAGGAGAACTCTTGTACAACCTCCCCCCTCCTCCCTCCCCCTCAAATTCCTGAGTGAACAGCAATGATCATTCACTCTGAGAAAAGGACTAAATGCTTGAAATGTCAGCTTTAAGTTGTAGACATCTCCTTGAACATCTTTGTTTTTAAGTCAATTTAAAAGTTTGTTCATTAATGAACATACACTTCCTTTCAGTGAGAAATCTTTTGAGGTTAACAAAGTTATCCTTTCATGATTACTTCCTTGAGTCCAATGACCTTTACTTGTGATAATTTCTTGATGTTGTGACAAGAAATTTGATGCTTATGAATCTCTTAGGTCTTAAAAGGTTGAATACTGATTTTCTGCTGGTTTAACCAAATATATTTAAATTTATTATCTAGAAACTGGACAGGACCCTCCCAGTTCTCAAACCAGACAAAGCAAGATTAGAATCTCCAGCATCTAATAGCATCCAGCTTACTTGGATTGGACATGCAACTGTTTTAGTCCAAATGGAAGGACTTAACATCCTCATAGATCCAGTATTTAGTGATTATTGTGGTGCTGTTCAGGGATTTGGAGTCAAAAGATATCGCCCTGCTCCTTGCACTGTTGACGAACTTCCAGAAATTGATGCTGTGTGTATTAGCCATAATCACTATGATCACCTTGATTACAACTCAGTGTGTAACCTGAACAAGAGGTTTGGCCATAAACTCCTCTGGTATGTGCCTATGGGACTTCGCCCATGGATAAAAAATTGTGGTTGTAATAATGTTTTTGAACTGGAATGGTGGGATGAACTGTCTCACCCAAACTTCACAAAAGATGAAAAGGCAGTGAAGTTTGCATTTACTCCAGCACAACACTGGTGCCGCAGAGGACTAAATGATACAAATGAGGTTCTTTGGGGAAGTTGGTCAATCATTGGTCCACAACACAGATTTTTCTTTGCTGGTGATTCTGGTTACTGTCACATATTTAAACAAATAGGCAAGCGATATGGTCCATTTGATCTGGCAGCTATCCCTATTGGAGCATATGAACCAAGGTAAGGGATAAAACCTCCAAAAGGGGTAAAAAGAACGCTTCGTTGTCAGTCTGCCATAGTGAGACCCATTCTTTGGTCATAGAACACTTGATCAGGGATAAATGAAAACCTTTATTGAAATAGTGCTGAGAAATGAATCAGTGAAGTTTTCTTTCACTTCTGACCAGTGCAATGCTGGTGTCATAGAGGGGTACACGATAGATGTGATTAAACAAACAAATAAACAGTCAAATGAATAAAGGGGTAAGTTTCTAAAGAAACTGTGGTGCTGCTTCTGTGAGGGTAAAACAAGATAATTTTGGTTTTATCAAAAAATGTAAATAGGCCACTGTAAATAGTTTCAAAGCTAACGTTCTTAGCATTAGCCCCTCATCATTTGCTCTGACAAAAGGGCTAATGATCAAAATGTCAGCTTTGAAAATTTTCATGGTGGCCATGGTAAAACCAAAATTATCTTGTTATGCTCAGCACAGATGCTTCTTTTGTTTTTAAACAGGGGATTGATGTCTTTCCAGCATGTTAACCCACAAGAAGCTGTAGAGATTCACCAAGATGTTAAATCTAACTCTTCTGTTGCAATTCATTGGGGTACATTTAATTTATCATATGAGGCGAGTGTTAGAAATATATAATTTCTTTACTGTTTCAGTCTTTGCATTGGAATTAATTAAAAAACATTTAGCCATATTTCCTTGAACAAGAGCCCATGTTTTTCCATGTTTTGCAGGGTATTTGACCATTTCTCTTTCTTTTTTTTTTCCTCATTTAGCATTATCTGGACCCACCAAGAAAGTTAATTGAAACATTAGACATGAAAGGTATTCCTCGGGCTGAGTTTCATACTATTAAACATGGTGAAACTAAAGTTGTTAAAAGGTCACAGGAGAGTGATTAAATAAGTAGAAAAAATGCCAGTGTCGCATACTTATTCCTTTTCATCCATATATAGTAATATTATTAGTCCTTCAACAGTATTTTATCTACAGTGTCTATTTGATAGTTCAAATTTTTCAAACCAGTTGAGGCGTTTTTTTCAAGATTATGGAAAAAAGGGAAATAGTATCAAATATTTCTTATGTGGAAACTTTTGAATTAAAACAACAACTCATATGCTATTTAGTGAATATTATAGAATTGTTAATAGTTTTGTTAGATAATATATGTAGATGTATAGTATATACAGTAAAGTATTAGTTTTATTTTATATACTCTTCATAAACAGATGAAGAACTGGGGTTGAAATTGGTGTTTTCATAACAAGCTTTCTCTGGTTAAAGAATTATTTTTTTAAAGTACATACATGTATATCTTACAGCTTTCATTTGACAGCTTTTAAACACTAAAGATGTAGAAGCCAAGAAGCCAAGACACACAAAATTAAAAATGAAAAAGAAATGGCAAACTGTAAAATGAGTAATAAAATACCATTTACAAGACAATAATATTATTTTGGCAACAGCTTTGAATTAATGTCTGCTCTTGCAGTGTGTCCAATAAGCTTACACAGCTGCCTCCCACTTGAGAGGAGAAGTTCTCTCATATATTAGCTCGAAATAAAAAAAAAACTGTCAAAATGTTTGTGTGAGGCTTCAGAAGTCTACATTATGGGTCCAAGCCTTCTGATACTATATGCTGGCTGATACACCAAAATCCAAAAAACTGCTCCCAAAACTAATGTAGTTCCCTCAAGAACTCTTGAAATATTCCAAAATCTACAGACAACAAATTTGTAAAATCGTCCATTTGTTACTGCTATGGACTAATACAGCATGGCTGATGTTTAATAGATATGCAAGTAACAGACACACCCATGATAGTGCTTCCTCTAGCCACAGGTAACCCAAGCTCACACAATGAGCCCTTATAACTGTGTAAATATGTCTTTTGCAAAACAAACATGTGAATATACCCATCTGACTTCTTGCTCATGTGTGACAGCCTGCTACATTCACAAGTCAGTTCAAGGAAGCCTGTCGTTCTATAAACACCCCTTTCTCCCAACTTGAAACAACAATTCAGACAATTTATATTAACACCAATCCACTTTATTATGAACAAACACTAAGTGCCAGAGAGTACTGGGTGACCTAAACAAAGTAATTTTTCATTGGCTTGAAGTTGCAGTTATTTTATTTCTTGTACAAGTGTCTCAATCTCCTCTTTAGTAAACATCCGGAATTTTCTGTCTGGTGTTGAGGTTCCAAGCTGTAAACAACAAATTAGTGTTAGCTGTGCAAGTCTAATCATCACAATGGCCTTGTAAAGCTGTATTGTGTGGAAAGTATGTCAGCCAGTCAGTCACTCAGTCCACCAACCACTTTCCTCTTTCCTGTTCTCATTTATTTATTCATCCATCCATTATTCCATTCATTTATTCAAACATTAACTCTTGAAATCAGGAAACCTATCAAACAATCAATCGATCATTAAACTTTTGCCACTTCCCACTAAGTAAAGTTACTACAGTACAACATCAAAATATCTAACCTCTACATTGGTAGCATTGAGTTTTTCCTCCATAACTTGTTTGAGTATTGTTAGAGCTGATTTACAAGCTCCTCTCAGTGTCATGGACTACAACAAGATACAAGAAGATAAGAAACATATGAGACTGTACAAAGCAAACCAGGAAATTTTAAGATTTACTTCTCTACAAGTTAGTTATGCAAAGCCAGTAGTATACCAACAACAAGTTTGATAATAACCACTGTCAGTGATAATCAAAGAATTTACGGCCTGTTGAGACATTTTAAAATTTTTTACCTTGTCATAAACTTCTTCTAGAGCTTGTTGTGCTCCTTCTGACCCAGAACCTGTGATTAAATAATCCAGATTATGAGATAAACTCAATGTGGTGATAAAGGGGTAAGTTTCTATAGAAACTGTGGTGCTGCATCAGTGGGAGAGTATAACAGGGTAATTAGGTATTATCAACTGAGTTGATAACATAAATTGGCCACCGTAAAGAGTTTCAAAGCTGACGTTTCCATTGCCAGCCCTTTGTCAGATGCTCTTCACCATTTGCTCTGACAAAGGGTTAATGCTTGAACCATCAGCTTTGAAACCCTTTAAGGTGGCCAATTTTATCAACTCAATTGATAATATCAGATTACCCTGTTATAAATCTGGTGATACACCAAATTATCAGAGAATCTCCAATTCACTCTTAGCCAGAGGAAAATAGATTTATTAGATACAATCCATGTTGCTACATGTACATATTTGTTCAGTAACAGATCACAGACAACATCAAAATGTGATAAAAACATCAAAGTGACACATGAGGCGAAGACAGGTGTGTTACTGCTGTTCTTACCACATTTTGATGTCCTATGGGATCTGTGACTCAACAGAACCATGGCAACATAGAATCCATTTCAATTGTATTATGTGAAAAAACCCGAAATTTTGTTAATGGTAAAATAATTTAAACATTTGTCTTCCAACCATAAGCAAGGACCAATCAAAATATGTGCATAATTTGGTTCATTATATAATATTATTGACATATCTTCAACCTTTATTAAGTTTGTACCTATGGCTTTTGCATCATATTGGAAAAATGTCCCAGAGGGGTCCAAGTGATAACTAAAAAAAAAAGATAATAATAATTATTTTAATGGTTAGTTATAATTATTTTTAAAATTTAACTAGCCTGTGTCACCCCACTGATAGAAGGAAGAGGGAAGAGTACAAGGAAAATTATTTTTTTAAGGATGAACTTCCTTATTTAGTGACCAGAGAATACTTGGAAACTTTCTTGAGTTGAATTTATGGCCTCTCCATTAGTACTTGTGTTGCTTTATCATTGAGCATCAATTAATCAAGTAAATCTGTCAGAATTTTCCTTCTCATATTCCATAGCAGTTGATAATTCTGAACAAGGATGAAAATTGTGCACGTGTGTACCCTGAAAAAATTAACCAGTTGTTGATGACCAAATCAGGTCTTGTTCAACTCTTTCACCCTTATAAGTGATAAGAATCTAACTTCTCCCAACACCTGAGTCAAACATTCATGCTATGAGAATTATGTAAAATATTACAAACTCAAGAAGTTCTTGATTGTTCTACAAATTCTCCTTAAAACTACAATAGGAAATTTATAGAGAACAGTATGGAGAATATTCAAACTGAAATTAAAGTGTAAAAAGGTTTAAACTCTTACAGTTGAGGGCCTTTGGCATCTACTCCTCCAAACAGCAAAGCTACACCAAATGGACGACTCTGGAGAAAGAAAAAAATTAGTTTAATTTACTTTATATGCAAGTCAAATGAAATTTAGTAAAAATTCATGAGATGGAGAGGCATCCTTAAGTGTAGTTTGAGCAGAGTATGTCATTTCTTATGGTCAAGGTATTTCAAGACAGTGCAGACCTTGTCTTTATCCTGTGAAACAGAAGTTTTCTCTTCTTCCTTATTGGAAAGTTTATGAGAAAATTGTCACATGCTCATCATCATCATCATCATCCTTCCCTTCCCTTGATGTACCATGAATTGAGGAGGTATAAACAGTGCCTAGAGCAGTTGATCATTACTTTGTTGCTGGAGTTACTAGCTACAGAAGCACTCACTGTCTTGCAAGCATTTCCTATCATAGATTTATTTGGTTGCAGTGGAAGACCCCATATACACTTCATCATTGATCATGGAGCTTCACTCACTTATAAAGGCACTTGATAAAATTGTTTGACTTTAAAAAAGGTGAGCAGACTTCCTTACCATTGCTCCTTCTCTGGCATCATCATCTCCAAACTCAAGTGCAAGGTTTGATACAGCTTGTGTGACACTTTCCACACTCATCTTCTCATTGTATGTGAACCAATGATTCTACAATTATTACAAAAAAAACAACAACAACAGCATTCACATGTAATCATAGGGAAAATTACTAAAAGGGGCTTTCCCTGCACACAAGTGAGCACACAAGGTAATTCATATATAAGGGAAATCTATTTGCCCTTAACAACCAAACAATATGCTATATTTCTGTAACTTATAGGTTTGAAGGCCATGAAATAAGACAATTTTACAGATACTCTGTAGGAACCAATACTTCAGATAAGCTTAACATACTGTTCAGTACTTTATGCAGGCAAGGTTGGCACTCTTATCTTCAGGGCAAGGTTACTGAAACAGGACCCTTTCTCATCTTGAATTAGGGATGGCGGCCACCCATATAATGATAAACTTGTGCCTCCTTTTTTTTCCTGAATCTACATGTAATTCATTATTTCAAGCCACTACATCATTCTATGCTGAATACTTATAGAGAAGCCTTTTTCAAAATAATGTATAATCATCCTAATTATATTGTGAAGTCCTAATTGCACATATCAATCACCAATCTCAAATTTTATGTCTTTCTATAACAAAAACTTTCCCCAAATGACTCAGTTTACCTGTGCTTCCACTCTTGCTTTGTCCACCATTGTTCTGGAATCAGCAATTAGCCCACTCATAGCACAACCTAAGAATGAAGACAGAAGTAGATATCTATGTTATATCTAAAATGAAGAAAAATGGGAGAAAAATCATTTAACAAAAACTTTTTTAACAATATTCCATCCTATCATGCAGCAGAACAAAGTTTTGGCTGTCCCACAAGTTTGTAGTTTGCAGTTAAGACATAACAGGTCATGCAGTATATCAGCATCAATCATTTGCCTGTATCAAATAATCAACCTTAATAATACACATGAAAAAATTATATGCACCAGATTGACTATAAACAAATGCGTTTTTCATGTAACACGTGCACAAAGTTATAATACAAGTACAAATAATCTTGAGGTGTAAAGGATTGCAAAATTTTGGCAGCGTGTGCACACTAAGCATCCACGCGCTGCCAAAATTTTATACTTCTTGACTTTTTGAGATGTGTTTTTCAAGTAAATTATTAACAAGTAACAACATAATTTTGAGTCCAATTTGGTGTAAATAGGCACTTTTAAATCTTTCAAAGACTACGAATTACACTTGCCCTACGGGCTTCTGCAATTCTGTTGTCTTTGAAAAAACGTACTTGTGCATATTAACACCGAATTGTGCTCGAAATCATGTTGTTGCCTATACTTATTGGAAGCAGGAGAAATCTGTCTAGCTGACTGGGATATTTTGAATGATAGACTCACATTCATATTTCATTACTATACTGGAAAAAGATAGCGTAAGGCTTCTGAATAAAAATACACGTGAACTGAATTTTCATTCTCTGAACATTGTAGCAGATGCTGTGAATCTAATTTTAATTACCTATATGACTGTCAATTTCCACAATTTTTTCAACACTGGTTGGTTCCATTAGTGGGGAGGTGATCCGTTTTTCCACAGCAAGCACAACA